TCAGATAAATTTCTCTCTCTGGGAAACACCAACCGTGGCAGAGGAAGGACAGTCAGGAGAAACTCCAGGAGTATTTTCTCAAGGGGGTTGTCATTGCCCTGTCGATGCCAGAGTTCTGCCTTCAGACCTCCTGTGGCTGAAGGAAAATTGGCCTGAAAGGAAGCAGGCTGAGGGGAGAACCCACATTTACTTCAGAGGAAGATCCTTGAGAAGGTTGTTTTTAAAGGGAGCCTCGCCACCATTTTTCAGTGGTGTAACTTTGTCAGTCACTGTGAGAGCTGGGACTCATCTGAGGGGGAAACCACCAGCTTCTCAGCCAAAAGTGTCAGAGGTCTCACGCTTTGTCTCTGGCTCGTTGATGTTTTCTGAAGGAGTTTAAATGCTCATTTTGTAGGATTTAATCCTCTTCAAATGGGACCAGAACAGTCGCCATGTAACTGGCAGTGGCATAACTCCAGAAATCATGAGCACTGCAACAGTTGGCAAGGGGCAATGTGCCTCTGGTGTAAACATGCCTCCGGTAGCTGACTCCATCTAAAATTATCTCTGGGCTGTATTAAGAGGAGAGAAAATGAATACCTTTTCTTTCGTTACATAGCCTGCCAGGGATGCCTTAAGCATTCCCACCTCTTTTGCAATATATCGTTTGGCCAGATCGTTCCTCAGCTTCTTTGGCGCTGCAGCTTGAACCAAACAGTGTTTCTGTGGTGCCTTGGATGCCCTTGTCACAGACTCCATTAAAAGCCAGTCCTTCAGAAAATACTTGACATTTGTGAATTGCTGGTTTTCACAACCAGCCTCTGTTTTCATACTGTAGCTGCAGCCACTGAGAAATCACCCTGAGGCACTCAGGAAAGACCCTTAATACACTGGCTATCTTTGCGTTTCTGAAGTTTAGCCCTTATTATCTAGCTTTGCTTGATAAGGGGCATCTGAAGACCATCTCTCCTGTTTTGTGCTGGTCCTATCACTTCAAAGAGAGTTTGGTTCAAATCTCTTGACCCGCGAAATACGTCCATCCTTAATTCAATGGGCACATTAAACTGAAAAAAAAAAGGCTTTATTTCACTGAATTTTGGATGTCATCCTACCATTTCATCTTCACACATTGCAGTGCAGACACAGTGCAGGGTCTTTGCAAGGTCTTGGCGCTTTCCTTAGACTTGGCCTGAAGAGACAGCTGGAAAGAGTTTCTCTTGCATGTGAGGTACATGGGTGCGCTTTTCTAGATAGCATTATTTGTTCTGAGATTTATGGGTGCACTTTTCTAGATGGTGTTCTTTGTTCTGAGATTACTGAGTTCTGCCTGGTAGAAAATTTCCAGGTAAATGTGCAACCTCTCACTTTTAACTACCCCTTCAGTGTACTCAGAGGTTATCGGGGCACTCTTAGAGGTTGTATTTTTTCCACTTCGACTTGCAAAACAATTTCAGGATGTTAATACTGCTTCTGAGACAACTCAGATCATGGCTGAGCACTTGGAAGCATTTGCGTGACCATCCTCAAACATGCATGTCTGTCTGTAGTCACAAATCACCTAGTGCAAGATTGCAGACATAGCACATTGCAAGCATGTCTTCGGGCTGTTTACATCCAGCAGTCATCTGTTGAATGTGATAATGACAGTACAAAGGGAACTGAGGGACTTTCTCTGATGACAAATGGACCATGTGTGCATTTGTATAGTCTTCTAGCTAATTACTAGGGCTCGGTGAGAGCGCTCAGGGTTTGTCTCCCAGGGAGTGCCAGGCTATCCTGGGAGGGAGTGGTTTGAAAAGTGACTGACTTGTACTTGTGTGTTCAGGTGTGATCTCTAACACAGCTTCAGCCCCAGCATGGATATCTGATGTCTTCCTCATCTAAGTGGTGGATGCATGTCATTTCTTAGCTGTACTAAATGCCTAGCTCTGTTCACACCAGGAAAGTCAAAGATTTTTCCTGGTTTTTGTTTCAACTTGGGCTTCATGCTTTGATGTAACTGCCTTTTTCTTTGCTTTTTCTCCAGCTGGTTTTCTGCTTTAGCTACCCCTCATCCCTTGGGCCCCGTGTCTGCTCCTGTTGTGTATCCATCTCAGCCCAGATTTGTACACCAGCCTGCTTTTTTTCCCTTGTATTCCTGCTCAGCTGTCTGCTCCAGTCTGCCCTTAGTTTTTGTTCCACCCAAATCCTAATGGAGAACCGTCTATAATGGATAAAATGTCCACTGCGTGGATGCTCACACTAGAAACAAGATCACACAATCTGTGGAGTTAAGTATAGTGCTATATCCAGCAGCTATGTACCTGTTGTCAGTCCTGAAGGTTCTGATTTTTTCAAGCTCGCTGCAAAGAAACGTTGAGGAATGGTGTCTTTGCCCTTCATGTACCAATAGGAACTTTAAGTCTTCTTGCTTTAGGGGCTTCTCAATGCCTCTTGGAGACATTATTGGGTCAAGAAGGTTTATAGATGCTCTTGATACCACTCTTGAACAGAATTGTCCAAAAGGTCAGTGAGATATGCTGAAAGGAATCCGGCAGGCGTCCATACAGCCAAGGCAACTTCCTTGCCCCGAGTTTGTGATTTTTTTCTTTTTCCTATTTTTCCTTTTTTTTTTTTTTTTTTTTTTTTTCCAAATACAAATCCCCAAAACACTTATTTTCTCTTACACCAGATTCAGCTCAGTTTTACTGAGATATTTGAAATGAAGATTGGAAACATTCAGTATTTTCTTTTTCAGGGCTTAGGGCTTTAGCCAAACAATTTACAATAATTGCAAATGAAAAATGCTTAGTGTAGGAACTAACATATAAAGCTGAGTACACATCCATTTCTGGTTGCAGTTCTCATTATCTCCAAGACGAATAATTTTAAGTACTTTCATGAACCTTCTTCTTGACAGACACATTCAGAATGATTTAATTTATCCGATAAAATGAAAATACACTTTTTTTTTCTCCCCTGTTTTTATTTAACAGGGGGTTCAGGGCTATGCAAAAATTCCCCAGATATACAGAAAGTAATTATAGAAGTGGTTCAGGTTGTGAACCACTGAAGTTTTTTTTTTTTTTTTTTTTTTTAAATTATTATGAACTTAAACAGCTTAATATTGAGATATGTAGCAATAATATTTTGGGCAATGTATTTGGCAGAGACTGTTCTGTGTCTGTGCTTATAATTTTAAATTCATACACATATAAAGTTGCTTTTTAAAAATCTAAATAGAAAATCCATGTGTAAGTTTCTTAGGTCATATTTTTTAAACTTATCTCTATATGAAATGGATATGTTTACAAGCATGTAAATATGCATGTATTCCACATAAGTTCTTGCGTGTGCTTTATTTATGAGTAGATTGCTACAAATATAGGAGTATGTCCATAATATGGATGCTTGGAATCCAGAAAATGACTTAAATATATATCTTTTATAAGATTAATAAAATGTCAATATTAGTGATACTTTGAATAACTGAATTTCTAGAGTTCATAATTAATATGCTTTATTAAGAAATCAGAAGTGGCAGAGATTTGTGTTTGGAGAAGGCTCTATTTCAAAAGTTTTTTTTAAATTATTTTTCAAGTTTAACATGGACTTGATCCAAAATCCAGGCCACGAAAAGAACAGATTCCCACTGACTTCAGCAGGGTACTCCAGATCAGACACCAAACTACAGATGATCTTTTTTTTTTAGCTGTTATTAGACCAATTGGAAAATGAAATAGAGATGACTGTGCAGACATTTGTTTACAGGAAATGACAAACCCAGTGGTTTAAGGGCACATAGATTCAGTAGCTTTGATGCAAGTGATCCAAGTTCCAAGCTCCTTTGTTGCAGACCAGGTTCAGCGCTCTATGCCTGTGCATCTTGTGCTTTTGTGCTTGTTTCTGAAACAAAACAACAAACAAACAAAACAAACAAACAAACAAACAAAAACACCTCCAAGCAAATGAATGCAAAAATCATACTAAATCAAGTGCCTATAATGTACATCTGACCAAAGCAGTGTTTAAAAATCAGTATGGTGGAAAAGATTCTGAACTAATTTAAATGTACACAGAAGGGCTTTCTGAATGTTGGTTTTCTGCATTTTATGTAAATTTATATGTGCATACCTACAAAACATTACACGGAATATGCACTTTGCAGTATTAGGGAGAATGATAACTTTCAGAATTTGAGTGTTTAATTTTGCAGTGTTAATGCCGATTCTTTCTCCTTACACTATACACCCTTTGGTATATTATTTCTCATTAACTTTATACAAAGAATATTTAAAGACATGTCTGAACTATTTATAACATCATGTGAATTTAGGCAAGTGTAACATCAGACCATAAATTTGTCATCTTTGCTAGAGGTGTTATGTCATGACCATTAAATATTAGGGCTTTTCCTTCCATTTCCAAACACTCCCTGCAGTAAGTCTAGAACAATGTCTTGTTCTCTTAACCTTGACCACAATATTTTAGTTTCTTCCTGTGCTCCAGTGTCTTTCTCCTTACTTTTCATCATTTTTCTCTCTTATAGTCTTCCTCACAGTATCTTCAGCTTCTTGTTATGTTCTCCCTCATCTGCTATTTTCATCCTGAGGCTGGGAAGAGGGGAGCACCCCAGGGGCTGGTAGCGCTCCCCAGGTGCTGACTGCCTGGGTGACCACTGTCTTTCAGTGACCAAATGGACCACAAACAGCAATTAAGGCCTGAAGTCTGACAATCTTTCTGTCACCAAGAGTCCATAGGATCCCTCTCTCCTATCTCTCTGGTGACTTTTCCTGAACTTATGGGAACCTGCTATTTTTGAGGACAAAAATTGTTTTAAATTAAGTGATCATTTTTAGAGTTACTTTTGGGACTATGATGGAAGAATGAAGATGCACAGAAAAAAATGGCTATAAAAATGTACCTCCAAGCTGTTTGCTTCCCCTTAATCCAGAAGAACACACTTTTGAAAGAAGAGTTATATAAAGTATACCCAGGTGCTTACTGCTTAAATACTGACCTTCTGACTTCTTTTTTTAAAGGTTCAGCAGATAGATCGTGTAGTAGAAGTTGTAGAGGAAACTATTAAAGGTAAGCAATACACTTGAAATTACACAGTTATGTAGCTGGTTTCTGAGATGTAAGAAGCATTAGCTAGCAGAAATGCTGTCATGTTCTTTACCAACCTAATTCTTACTTTCCCCTCTAGCTAAATGTTTGGGCAGTGCTATACATTGCCATGTGTGTTTAGCGTAAGGAGTAATTTTAGAGATCTTTTCTGGCAGGAGCTCCATGGCCTGTTGGATTCATAGGTAAATGATCTTGAGGAGACTTCAAGAACCCATTTAAGTTGCATCAATGTAGGTAGATGTAGAGTGCTTTTTAAAGTTTCTGCTCTATCTTACTTCATTGCTCTATCTCCACCTTCTTATGTTTAGTACTCTCATGTTTTCTTCTTTTCAGCTATTTTGGCTCATTTCCCTGAGCTTTTCTCAGCAGGACAGATAAATTATCTACTGCTTTAATGTTCTTTTGTAATTATGTTCCTTGTTCTCTCTGGCTGCGTTCATGTGTGTGTACACGCAGTACTTTGCAGTGAAGGGGGGCAAAGACAGTATTGTTTCCCCAGTCTCGCTAGTAAACATTTGCTATTAAATAAATATATTTGTCTGGATCCTTCTGGGTTACCTAAGTTTGTCTCCATTACTTATCAGGCCATAAAAATTACTGTTCCATGAAGCTTTAAATTACAAGCTTTAGCTCAATTGGCTGTACTTTCAATATAAACAAGTGTCTGGTACACAAGATGTTGCCTTTACTTTTAATGCTGGAGTTTGATGGTTTCGAAGTACAACATGAAAATATAGAAGTGGTGCAATAAAGCTTAAAAGAAGAGGGGGAAAATGTTTATGTTAAGAAACCATGTAGTATTATAAGGCTTTTAGGGTTTGCAGTTTGAAGGCCTTAAGGTGTGTATTGCTTTGAATAGTTTCAGAGATGAAACTCCTAACAGAGTAGAGATGTACTCCTAACCCAAACTTTTTGCAGTTTGTCCTTATTTTATGGTTTCCACACTTTTGGTACAACCTATTGTACTACGCAAACAGAGAAGAAATATTCAGTGTATTCATATTTGTTACTGAATGTGCACAACTGTTAGTGTTAGGTCAAAGGTTGGACTCAATGATCTTGAGGTCTCTTCCAACCTAGAAATTCTGTGATTCTGTGAACTATTTTCCCAGAAACACCATGGTGTTTATCACAACATGTTGAAGATGGGGATACTTCATGATTTTCACAACAGCACAGTATTTCAGATCCCTATCTAATTTTCCTGAAGTGTATTTATTCTTAACGGAGTAAGATGATAACCTGGGTCAGCATGCCCTCCCTTTACAAAATTGTGCTTTGTAATATTTATACTGACTCAGAACATTACTGCTTTTTTGATAACATAGTTACTCAGGTTATTGTGACTGAATATTATGTGATTAGAAAGAAGGCAAACATTCCAGAAGCAATTGTTAAAATTATGTTTTTTATTGAACTGATTATAAGATTGCATTTTGCGTATGGATGTAATTCTGGAAAAATGTAATATAAAATTTAATGTACACTTATGCTTTAAAAAGCATCAATTTGGGGAAAAAATTAGCTTCCTTTCTAGCTTACGATAAATGATCTGAATAAAAAGAAATAAGTGGTCTGTTGAATTCTATACATGGTGACAATTCCTTCAGGGATTTCTCAGAAAGTAATGGAACACAGTATTTTGTAAGTTCTATGGGAAAAAATGAACAGAACCAGAATTTCTCTTTGGAAGACAATTGGCAAAATGACAGGGGTCATAAGGTGTGATGAAGTCTTGCTTTTACAAAGGCCAACCATTAAAATTAGGAGATTTTACTTATAATTTGTTTTTCCATTTAAATTTGTTTAAAAATAATGCATTGATTTATGGATTTGGTAATCACCTTCCACAAATAGAGAATAATGTGAAACTCTTTGTTCCTGTGTTTTATAAATGATTCTAACTGTGAACTTTCATTATCTAAGTAAAGAAAAAATACTTTAGGTGACAGGACTGTTGGTTAAGAATGCTTTATGCTGTAAGACGCATCCATGGTAGAAGCTTAAATTCTTGTATTTAAAACCAAATGAAATGTGTTTGCATTGTCTTCTTAAGTCTGTGACATTAGTTACAATTTCTGAAGCCCCAAATATCTTGAGGAGGCAGAGATGGTATGGGACAGGGGATTAAATACAAATTTTGAATTGAGAGCCAGTTTACATTCAGTTTTTTTGTTGGATTTTTGTCGTCGTTATACAATGCAGTGTCCTTCACCTGTCTTTTTAAAAGAAAATCAATAGGTTATATGGGTGCTTTACTCTTGTAGTGCGGCTATGTCTATACTGAAAGTTTAAAAAAATGTTCTGACTAAATATTTAAACTAAGTTTAAACTGCATAGCATCTGTACCCTGCAGGGTAGCTATCTCTGTAGATCAGTCTGCCTGAGTTGTCAAGGTAATCTGTCCAGATTACACAGTTTTTATCATAGTTGCCAGTTTTTAGTTTAGAGACTGGTTTTCCTTAGGTTCCCATTTCTTGAGGGCTACCAAATATTTTTTTGGTGGATACTTGAATTTTGCTGTACACAATTTACCACAACAGAAAGCTTGTTTTAAATAAATAAATAAACTAAGATAAACCTTCCCTGTTTTTTTTCCCCCTAATGTTTTTCTCTCTCATTTACCAAGAAAATGTCTACCCTGTTAGTTTTTTGGCTTTTTTTTTTTTTTTTGAAAACTTACTGTTTTCTTTAACTGTACTCCTCCTCAAAAACTTCTTTTTTGGAGTTATTTCTACGAAATATGACTGTGTTTTTTCTAGTTTTATTTCTCAGTCTTGTAGTCAAGTTTAGGATACCCTATTCAGAGCAGTGTCGTTGTACTGATTCAGTTGATGGTTTGAAGAAGTAAATGTTTATGGTGGTCTTTACTTCACCTTTCTGAAAACAGCATAATTGCAGTTCCCAACTCTCTGCTTACTCATAAACACTTTTTATGTGACTTTACCTTTTTATCCTTTTTCATCGGAAAATGGAAAAGAAGGATGCTCATGTTTCTTTTGGTTGCTAGTGTGATAAGAGACATAATTTTTTAAGAGACCCTGTGATGCCTCATTTTGAGATCACCCTGAGCTTTATCACAAGTCAACTTTCAGGTTCCCCATGATTGTCAGGTAAATTCTGAAACTGCAATTTCCAAAAGGGATCTTTAAAAGTGTGCAATATTTGTATGCAGGTCATGTCTGGTTTAAACTGTGTCCCAAGATATATTTTAACTAGAGGCATCTTCAAGTACTATTTCTATAGCTTATATTGCTAAAATTTGAAACCTCTATACTTCCATCTAAGAAAATCATGGATTTCAAGGAGCTGGACAAATAGATTTGATCTCAGCCTTAGAATTAGGTTTCTTAAAGAGACAGCCACAAAAATGTAGCTGGAGTGTTTCAGTCTTAAAGACTTACAGAACAGTTTCATCATGCAAGTCTCTGATTGAACAGTTTAGCAAAACTTTCTTCTTCTGCACATTACCCAAATCTTACAACTGAATTCACAGCTATTTTTACATCATTGGGGCACCCTATTTCCACTTATGTGCCTGGGTTCCTGGTAATGACATAGTAAGGTAGCAATTGAATTATTTGAACTAGGAGAAAACTTGGTGATACTTGACATATGCTCTTTCACTAAGTAAGATTTCTGTACAAAATTTCAAAGCTGTTTAGGTTAATCAGTCTCTAGCCCGTTCTACTAAGATGAAGCTTTTTTTTTTTTTTTTTCCCTGATGGGAACCACAGGATGTCACTGGTGATTGCTCAAGTCAGCATTTTTGAGCCATTCTGAAAGCTGTTTTTAAAAATAGCTCAGTGTGTGTGTATGTACAAACTGAGATAGAAATGGTTTATGTAAAAATGGTCAAGAAAATATATTTAGTCTGTAATTTAAAGGACAGATTTTAATGGCTTAATGTGGAAATTCTCCTTGGTTTTGAATTCAGGTCTATGTGGATTTGGGGCTTTTTCCACCTCCCCTTCTAGACACGCTAGCTGTCTCATGTTGAAGCTTTTTGGGGGTGGGGAACATGGAAGTGGAGCATTTGTATACAATTTGCTTTTAGCTTAGGCCTTAGGGAGATGAGGGGCACAGGTTGAATTGAGTTTAGTCTGTATTGTGTCTGTCAAACGTTTTCACAAAACATAGTTTTACAATGGGTCATTAGACTTGATTGTTAAAAACAGCCAAAGGAAATTACTTCAGGGTTGAGCCTTTTATACTTCACATAACCTTTCTTGATTTCAGTCACGTTGACCTGTCTGGTGAAGTTGCCCATCCATTCCCAGCTTAAACATTAACCAGCATTTACTAACCGTTGAATTGTTAATTATGGATTGCTGATAGTTGTGTCAGCCTATGAAAATGAGCAGGTGAATAGTACCTGTTTGTATTTATATAGAGTACAGAATTTATACCAGATTGCATAATTTAGTGAGATTGTATGTAAATGTATGTTTGGGTACATGTATGTAGGTACGTATACGAATGCCAGCATATTAAATAGTATTTGTATGTGCTGTTTGTTTCTCTTATAATCTGCTGATAATAGATAAAGTAACAGTAGATAAAATACTGTCTTTTGAATTTCAATGATGGTAGGAAGGGTGGCCTTGACTTAAGAAGCTGGTGATGAGCCAAAAGAGGAATAAAAACTGTAGGCATTAGGAGTTCCTTTCTGAGGAAAAGTGTAATTTGGCTCCCAGTCAGGAAGCTGGCTGTTTGTGCCTAGTTGCAGCTTGAGAGGGGTCAGAGGGAGGGTAGCGGACTCACCGGGCCCCAGTTTCTGGTTCTGTATCTTTTGAAAGGACTTAGAAAGGGGGGGTGGTTTTGGAGGGGTTGTTTTATTTATTTCACTGTGTGGTGGCCTGACCTTGGCAGGCTGTCAGACCCCCACCCAGGCTCAACTGCACTCTGTGCATGGGTCCCCTGTGGACCAAGAGCCCTTGCCAGCAGACCTGCTCCTGCAT